TGGAGAAGAGGCTTCAGGGACACCTTATTGCGGCCTTTCAGTACTTATAGGGGGCTTTAAGAAAGATGGGGACAAACTTTTTAGCAGGGCCTGTTGCGACAGGACAAGGGGTAAACTAAAAAAGGGTAGATTTAGCCTAGATACAAGGAAGAAATTTTTTACAATGAGGCTGGTGAAACACTGGCACAGGTTGCCCAGAGAGGTGGTAGATGCCCCATCCCTGGAAACATTCAAGGTCAGGTTGGATGGGGCTCTGAGCAACCTGATGTAGTTGAAGATGTCCCTGCCCATGGCAGGGCGCTGGACTAGATGACCTTTAAAGCTCCCTTCCAACCCAAACTATTCTATGATTCTATGAATGGCTGACCATTTTTTTTCCCTTAGGTTGGTGGGGTCACAGAAGAGCCTAAGAGATCTTTATGATACTCAAACTTACGTAGTTTTTTTTTTTCAGTTCTCTCTCCCACTTGAAACTGTAAAGGAGTTAAGTTAACATTGTGGGGTTTTTTTAACCCTTCCCATATAAGATGGCAGTATTTTACCTCTCTTTGCAAACAGAGTTTTGAATCTCACAGCAATAGTCGTTTTTAATCCCTCATGGCTCATAGTGACAGCTGTGTTATCATGTGAAGTGTAGCTTGTCTTCCACAAGTAAATGGTCTGCTTTCATTACTTGGGTATGTGAAACTTTTTTTAGTGGCATTTAACTGCCATGTAAATCGTAGGTCTTGATCCCAAGGAGCACCCTGTAAGACTAGATTCTTGGCAGAAAATGGATTCTTTCTGCAGTTTGAAAGTGGTTGGTTTTGTTCTGCAAATGAATGGGCAACGTGGTTAAATCTATTGCTTTGCATGTACCATGCATAGTAGAATAGGAGACTGCTACCTTTATGCGCGTGCTTACCTTAGAAAATTCTGAATTAACTTGGACATCTGTACAGGCTTCTCAAGACCTCTGGCGAATGTGCCTTATGCGTTTCAATGAGCTGCTTTTTAGTCTGCTTGGGTTAGTTGATTTTAAGAAAAGAAAAATTTACAATACTTTTATGTAAGTCAGAGGTGCAACCTCATTGGTTATTTTTATGATTTTTTTTTTTTTGCTTTGAAATACCGTCTTAGGCTATTTGAACCCTTTAGCAAGAGGTAA